TATATATATATATATATATATATATATATATATTATATATATATATATATATATATATATATATATATATATATATATATATATATATATATATATATATATACGTAGCAATTTCTGTATAAGTTTTTCTTATTGGTGATCAAACCCATCTTCCTGGATTCTTCGGATGATTATTATGAGATGACGAATTTATTCCCGGCAGTTAAATTCGCATAATTTTGTTTTTTTTGCAAGTAAAAAAAGGAACTAATTTTTTCTCCTCATTTGACGATAAATAACATCTCTTTGTTGCTGTTATTATTGTTTATCCGGGTAACCTGGTTTTAGGCTTTAATGTTACTTTTCTTTCTGATCCAAAAAAGAAAAAAAACTTAACAAAAAATCCTAACAGGTTTTCACGATCTAATGTTTTGCTTTGTATCACCATCTGATCTCGTACTTTCATTTTGTTTCATTCAAACGCTGATCTTCAGATTTAACTCAAATGAAATTAATAATGCATCATTATATCATTCTATGTAGTTCAAGTTCGAAATTGATTTAGATTAATGGAAGTGTTGGTTTTGGACCTTAGCGCTTTATTTGCTTTACAAGAATAGTACACGGGCACTTTCTCTCTTACTTTCTCTTTTCTCTGATCTTTATGTTAAAAGAGCTCTATTTTTGCTGTTATCCTTTTTTTCACTTATAGAATTTTTATTGCAACGGAACTGAAATTTGTTTTCTGTGATTTTTTTCCTTTAAATAGTTTTCCGTTTTTAAATAATCTTTTTATAATTTCATATGGTTTTAGTCTTCCTTTTTTCAAATTATCGCATCGAAAAACCTATATTTAGATTTCTGGTTCTGTTCTACTCGTGCGTTTTGAATTTTTACATACAAAAGATACATTACAAATATAGCAATTAAATTTGATTGTTAAAAGGTCTAACCATAACACTGTTCTCCTTTTACACTGTTTTACACTGTTTTACAGAGGTCATTTAGCACTTTCTATCCCTTTTTCTCACATTTTTATACTAAATGTACTCTACCATTGTTATTATCCTTTTTCTTTCACTTATAGAAATTTTCTGGATGAAAATTGGGATTATTCTCAATTTTTTCTTTACAATTTTTGTTTTTAAATAATGTTTCTATAATTCGTAGTTTTTTATTTCTTACCTGTTTCTTATCTCGATTTTTTAGTTTTAAGGCGTTGCTCTTGTAATGATTTCATTTAGCATCGCATCAAATAACCTGTATTTTGTTTTCAAAAAACTTGTATTTTAGTTCCAGTTATGGTTTTGCATTGTGTATACAAGAATGCATTATAAATATAATAGTAGTAAGCTGTTGTTTATAGCTTCCCTTTATATCCATATTTTAATAATGCGGTAAATTCGAAATGAAGGGCAAGTTCGAAATGTGTGTAGGAAATTCTTTCAATGAATGGGAAAGCTACTGATAGCATGTGAAGTACAATTGATGTTTTAAACTGTTAGGACGAGTCGCTGCAAAAACTTTTGTCATGAATTTGGAAGATAGCTTACACAGCTGTCATATGCTGAATAAACGGATTTGATCATCGATTGCTTTTCAAGTCACATTTATACTCAATAAATGGATTAAACAAAGTCCCAATAGTTTTAATTTCGTAAAATCGATTGAAATTAGCTAGGAGAGGTATGTCATTCTTCTCGAATGATTGTTGCGATATAGCTATGGTGCGATAACCTTCGGTCGATCAATATTTTCCATACTTTTTATCAAAACATTCACCACTAGAGAACACTAAGTCGTCAAGTTATTTAAACAAATTATTTGAATTGAAAACGGAAAATTAAATTTTTAAAAGCATAAATATTATTGTCAATGGAGATAAGTTACAGTTGTTCAACTAAAAGTACCGTAGCTTGTAATTCCATCGGTAAGCTTTTTTTGATGAGTGTAAAAGCATCATATATGCTATCAGTTTATTATTTGTTACGATAAAGCTCAAATGTAACAACTATTTTCCTAATGATTGTTGCACCAAACCAATAAGTCATGAATAAATAAATAAATCAATCAATCAACCAATAATTAAGTGGATTTTTTTCCAATCCTTTTTGTTTCACCTGCTTATTCTTTTTATTGGTTAATTTTTATTATCTTTAATATTCTTTGATTACAATTTCTTCAAAATTTGTCATTAATAAAATGACATAATTCAAAATTGAAAAAATCTCCTTTGTTGTTTGTACGTTTTTTTTTTTTGTTTTTATTTTTAGTCATACTGAATTAGTACAAATGGGGAAATTATTCAAAATTTCCCAACGAAATACAAGCGTACGATGTAAGGGGATAGCAAAAATATATATGAAAATTTAAAAGGTTTAATTCAGGAAATGCTTGTCTGTTTTATTAAAAGTATGAAAGGTTCTGTTAAATTTGAATTTAAATCATTTATTTCAATTTGAAATAAACCAAACATAGCAAACATTTTTACGCAATTAGAACATCAGTTAATATTATTAGTGATGTTTTAATTGAAATATTCGTAGTATAAATGATGGAAATTTAATTTTGATCAAATTCAAAAGCGTAAAAAATCATTCTTATTTATGCCAATTCAAATTTTGATTTTTTACTCATTTCTTCTTCATCACTATCATTATTATCAAATCGATTCAAGTAGATAGATAGATAAATAGATAATATGGTTCGATTAGATAAATGGATAGATAGTAAGGTTCGATTAGATTAGACAGATAGATAAGAATAATTATCCTTTTTATTCCAACTGTGAATTATTCCACTGAAGATATCATACTTTGGGGATCTTTTAATCATTTTACGTATTATTGATTGCAAGGCTCATTACATTGTTAAAACAAACAAAATAAATTGATATAATTTCTCAATTTTTTTTTTTAAACTTTTTAATTTCGATCTAATAAACGTTATATCATCTGCTTGTTTTTTCTTTCCTTTTTGGACGAAACATTTTTGTGAAATAATTCATGTAAAATGGTAATTGATTTATGAAAAATGCTAATTAATTGATGTAAAATAGTAATTTAATTGCATCATTCATTTCCTTCTCTTTCTTTCTTTTTTGCTTTACTACTTCTGTTTTATTTGAATATTCTTATCGAACAGTAAAACTTTTTAAATTTCGTCATTGAATTCAAAACATTTTGAATAAATCCTTTCAATATCATTGTCAAATACATCACTTCGGAAAATTTTGCACGAATAAAACCTTTGAGATATTGCAACAATCAAACATAAGCTTCACTGACCAGAAATTAGAAATGTTTAAAATAATCTGAGAGAATGAATGAGAAGCATAAAATTGTAAATGATAACAATACAATCATAAATTAACATAACAGTTGATTTTATGTTATCAGCATGTGTTTCCTTGAAGTTTTTCTTTAAAAATTTTATGAATTAATGGTTTTTTTTCAAATTTAAGAAAAAGAATAAAATTAAACGAATTTTTAAAAAGGAAAAAACCAACGACTAAGCATTGATGAATTGATTATTTTCTTTTCTTTATTTATCATTCCCTATCGTGAAAATCTTCAAGGTCAACTCAATTTTTCTTAAACAAATTTGTTCAATTTATACAATACATAGCTCTGTTCCAATCCAACAAATAGACCCTAATGATGCTTGCTGTTTGAGATTTTGTAAAATTTTGATAGAAATTAGTTTAGCATAATTTGTATCTCATCGGAAAAAAAAAATGAAATCTAATCTGAATAGTCCAATTTATGATGTCTGGGAAGGTAATATAGTTCGATAATGTGAAACTTTGATATACCACCTCCAATAAGTCTTTAAGACAAATCACCAAAATAATGTCACAGAATTTAATCACAATAATTCAACTAATAGTATCCGGCCGAAAAAGTGAAATGATTAGATGTGGAACACCAATTACTGAGCACTTAGCCCTGATCTGCGAGACATATCAGGAAGACATTCCTTTGTGTCATTCTGAATTGCACGATTTCCAACGAATAAGATGTAACAACCGATCATCCCCCATTTCTACAACATGAAGTCTGATGTAGCAATGTATCTCTCATTTAGGTATAATGTTTACCGGAAATATGAAATCAATAAATAATCAGACATGTATTACTTATTGAAATGGTTGATTTAAAGGAAATTTACATAAGAATTAAAATTTATAAAAAATGATAGATAATTTGATTCAAATTTTTGAATTGGAAAACGTGGGAAACGAAATTTCAAAATGGTTCATTTGTAAATGAGTTTATTCCAACAAGCAAATGAGAAAGGAAGGGGAAAGAGAGGGAAAAAAAGAAAAGGGGGAGATAATGAGAGAAAATGAAAGGTCAATTTTGAAATATTACTATTTTTTCTCACTTCCTAAATTAAACGTTCCATTTGGATATTTTAAACAAACAGAAAAAAACTCTCGATGTAATGCGGGAACAGAAAAAGTAAAGAAAACGGGAGAAGGCGGGGCGTAACGTCCTCTCCGGTAAATTGTGTTGCCAGTCAGGTTTCCTAAATTTCGTATTTTATCAGGTAGCGATGTTCCAGCCGAATTACCATTTTTCGTTTCATTTTTGTTATAGGTGCGAAATTTTTCGTTTCATTTTTGTTATAGGTGCAAAAAAAATTGTTCCTATATGTAAATTTAATTATTCAAACTCTTCGTAAAATTCTTGTAAAAAAATTAGATTTTACAATATGCTGCTAATAAATAATACAGTACTAAAATTTGAAAAAAAATGAAAGTTTATGGGGAGATGGGTGAAACAATTAATATAAACAAAACATAATCATTAGTCAATCACCTAATTAATTAAAATTAATTAGTTGATTAAAAAGAAACTTTATGGGGGAGTGAAATGAAAAAAAGGAGTGAAGTAATTGATGTAAGCAAAGTTGTTAAAATAAACATAATTATTAATAAATCGTCAAAAAATCATCACTTGTCATTTACATTTTTTTTTCAGTTTTGCAATTGGTAAAGCAAATGATGCAGCGTATGGGAAATGCAAATGTTCCAAAATGTCCGGAAGGCATAATTTTAGGATGTGGTAATTCACTCTTAGATATGCGAGTTGAAGTTAGCCCTGAATTTTTAAAAAAGTGGAATTTGGAAGAGAATAATGCAATAATAGCATGTGATGAACATATACCTATGTGAGCTTTCCACTTTTCTTTAAATTATTTTAGGTTGCATGATTTAATGAGATTTTCATATTAGTAAATTTAAAAATTAGTAAGTTTAAAAATCGATAATAATCACCCATTGTATGTTAATGCATGCTATGTTGACATGCATGCTATGTGAATACTAGAATTTAATGTTTTATGAATTTTTTTTGTCAGTGAAAAAGTCAATTCCATCTTACTTTATCAGTTTCTTGAGTTAAATTTTTCTTCATTCATTTAACTACAACCGGAAGAGTTTGATATCTCAAATATGATTCAGATTCAAATTTTCTGGTTACTATAATTTGAAAAATTATCCATTAAAATAGAAATTTTCATCCTTTCAGAATTTTCCATTTCAAAGCTTCCACTAAAAATTTCAATGTTAAGGTTTCAAGAGTTATTGGATAACTATGATATAACCTACACACCTGGTGGTGCTACACAAAATTCACTTCGTGTTTGTCAGGTGAGGCAAAAATTTTTGCTTGCTTTTCGATTTTTTTGAAATTAAATTTTGAAGTAAAAAAAGAGAAAAAAAAGAAATTCTTAAACACGAAAAATCTCTTGCAACTGTTAATTTTTTAGTGGATATTAAATGAACCGAATCGTGTAGTATTTTTTGGCTGCATAGGAGATGATCGGTATGGTAATATCTTAAAAGAAAAAGTCCGACAAACAGGCCTTAGGGCATATTATCAAGTGAAGAAAAATCAGAAGACAGGGACATGCGCTGCTCTCATTACTAATCAACATAGGTTGATTGTATAAATTATCTTAGAATTAAATTAAATTAAATTCTTTAAAGTGGAAAAACCCTATGTTAATGATCAACGTTTATAAAAATACACTATTTTTTTTTTTTTTTTAAGGGTTCTTAGACATGTCATGTAATTATAGCAATTTTTTTTAATGTAGTATTTGTGGGAGGTCGAAATGAAGGTCGATCTTTTTTGAATTCTATATTTAAAAATTTTGGTTTTTACTTCACCCATAATTAATGTGTTTAATTTTTTCCATTCTAGATCTCTTTGTGCTCATCTTGCAGCAGCAAATTCATTCACAATAGACCATTTGGAGCAACCAGAAAATCGTGCCTTAATTGAAACGGCTCAATATTTTTATATATCGGTTAACTTATCTATAATTTTTAAATTAAAAAAGAAATCCCAAAATCTCTTATCAATAACATATTCATCAATTATTCTTTAGACTAAAATTAAGAAAAAAAACTTTTGAAATGATATTCATATTCCAGGGATTCTTCTTAACCGTATGTCCGGCAGCTGTTATATCCATTGCTCGACATGCTAGCGAAAATAATAAAGTTTTTCTTTTTCTTCTCTTTCTCTTTGTCTTTTTTCTTTCTCAGTTAAAAATTTTCTGTCTTAATATTAAAAATACTAATTAGAAGGAAGATCTACTCGTCTCAATAATTAGGTTAAAACTTCTGCAATTTCTAGTAAAAAAACTTTATCATGCATAGCACTGGTAAATCATATTACTTCAAAAGTAACATTTTTTACAGGTATTCGCCACAAATTTAGCAGCACCATTTATTCTAAAAGATTTCCGGAATGAATTTTTGGAAATATTACCGTATGTGGATATTTTGTTTGGCAATGAAAGAGAAGGTCGAGCATTTGCAGATGCAAACAATTACAATACGCATGATTTGCAACAAATATGTGTTAAAATTGCAGCATTTCCGAAAGTTAGTGAATTCCATGCATAAATATTTAAAGTGGAATTTTGTTTTTTTTTTTACTCTGGAAAACAAATCTGTGATTGTTGTAATTTGCAATGATTAATATCATATGGTTAAGGTTAATGAAAAGCGACAAAGGATAGTTATTCTAACGCAAGGACCTGATCCAACATTCGTTTATCAAAATGGTAGTAATGCTGTTGCAGAATATCCAGTAATAAAATTGAAACATGAAGAAATTGTTGATACAAATGGAGCCGGTGATGCATTTGTTGGAGGTAATATCTTTTACTAAATCAACGGGTTATATCAGTTTAGCACGCCATCTGATTAGCTTGTATTTAAGAGGTGTGAAGTTTTTTTTTTCTTATTTTTATTTATCCACGATGGATAACCTTTTCATATTTACAACTTCCAAACCATGGAGTTCATTAACTAGAAAAAAAAAACTTATTCGGTATGACCAAAACTTGATTTTTTTTTTCCCCAGGATTCCTATCACAATACATTCAAAAGAAATCGATAGCGGAGTCGGTTAAATGCGGACATTATGCTGCGGCAGCAATAATACGGCAAGAAGGCTGTACATTTCCATCAACTTGCCTTTATCATTGAAATTCTTGTCTAATTTTAAGACAAGAAATTGTCGGGTGTACCGACCATTCCCAATTTTGTTATTGGGAATTCCCCGACAAAATCCTCACCAACTGAATGCCACTACTCTGTTATTACCGTACTATCACTTTGCGACAAAGGAAACATGTTTATGCTTTGGCATCAAGCAGATTTTGAAAATTTCTTGCCCTCTTGAAAAGTTTTGGACAAATCTATCAATAAATTTATTTTATTAATTTATTTTGTACGCCGTTGTGCAGTCACATATAAAGGCACAAGAAATATAAGTCAGAAATTCGAAATCATGCTGTATACTCTCAAAATTAGATACACACACATACACATATATACACACATACACATACATAGAGATGTGTCGAAGAGTGAAATTCACTGCGAAGTAGGATATAGGAGGAATCGTGAACAATAAATTATTGAAATTTTGACGAAAACAGACAAATATAGACAATGGCCTAGCATACGAAATGACTTGATGACAATTATACAATACTACATTTTAAAGCCGTATATGGAAGTGGAAAGTTTTATTCTACTGTATATCCTATCAGGAGATAACAAAAATTTGAAAGTAAAATCCTCAATTTTGGTTCTTATATAACAAACTGTGTTGATGAAAGGTGGCAAAATCTAAAAATACGACGCTTTTTATGTACCAAACATAATTGCAGAACAACTCTTTTCTCAAAAACTCATGATCCTATCGCACATTGGTTTCAACGGCCCATTATGAAGTTACTATTATGTACAGTTTCATCGAACTTATCAGATCTCATGTCTGATATGCAAGAGACAAGTGATATGAAACAAGTACATAAGTGGTTGGAAACCAATTATTCCGCCTAATTGTAACTATCGCCTAAGATCCCAATTACAAGTTTCTTCGGAAATGCAAAATTAAGCTCATGTATGGGAAAGCAGTATTCTAGAAATAACATAAAAATACCGTTGAAATCATCACTTTAAGCAAAGATACATATTATATCTGAAAATACAGGAACCGTGGGATATCAAGAAATTCCTTCGGTTAAGAAAATTTACACCAATCTCCCCCGACATAAACCATAGGAAAGGTTAATGCACATCAGCAACTACAATATCTAATTGCTTTCCAACTTTTTACCAATCGATTTAACAATTAAATCATAGGTCAGTTCAGATGAATGACTTATTGCAGCAACACTTTTGACAATTTGGCACACACTCACACATACAGCAAAAAAAGAATGAGCAAGTCAGTTACATGGATAATTAATACGATTAAGATTACAATAATCTTAATAGTGTCTCTCGGACAGACCAGAAATTGAATCTAATTTAAATTTCAGAATCTGTGGGGGATATTCACAGATGAAAGCATAGGCACTTATCATAAACACTGACAGTAGAGCAAAGTGAAGTCAGTAATTACGCCGACAATATGTTTCATTCAACAATAAGTTCAGCATAATCCGGCGAATCAGTATCCACTTGTCCTATCGCCCAACGCAGCATCTCATTCCCTTTAATTGTTATTGGCGAGATCTAGAAAATGTCATGTTCAATCCATTTCAAATCTTGTGTCAAATTTATGTAAAAAAATATCAACAAACCAATCATAAATGGTCAAAAGTTCCTTTACATATAGTTATGATTTTAAAAAATCAATCCATACAAGTAAATTCAAAATAAAACCATTTCTCATTTCGGATACAACTGTAATAGAAAGAAATTAAGAATGAGCGATGAAAATTACCCCTGGGACAAAACGCTTGTCAGGGATATATCAAGTTTTTTCCGGACAGCTCAATTTGCAAAAAGCTCAAAATAAACTACCTCGTGAAATGCAATGAGTTCATGAAGATGACGATGGACTACTTGATTAACTCCCAGAAACTGATATCCCTGTGGTATTTTTTCGATCAGAAAATGCTTTACATTACCATCTCCAGCAGAATACGAAAGAGTGTAACCCCAAATACGTTCCGAAACGCGAACAATGTATGAACCGGCCGGTTTTTTATGTAGCAGTCGATCAGCTTTGATTCGTGGAATAATTCCTGTAACGGAAAGCTCACTATAAAGACAATAAATTGTCAACTAAATAATGATTATTCGTGATGAGATTGAAGCAAGAGAACAGAATTAATGTTGGTAACACTAGGAAAAAGGAAAAAGTTATGTAATTCCATTTTTTTTGTGATGAATAACTTCGTCCGTTTAGATAAGAATGGAGACATAATTAACCATGGAACCAAACAGCTGGTCGACGTGTCACTGGGTCTAAACCAGTTCCTCGTAGCAGCTCTTCAGTTTTGAACCAATTAATGATTGCTTCACGTGATTTCGGTTTGGGAGGCCGGGGTAAACTCTTCCTGGAAAAGCCATTAATAATGATTTCTTGTAACAAAGCAAGTTGACATGAGAAGATAGTTAACCGATTGGCATGAAATATTTACTCTTCTTAACTGCACGAAGAATAGTCCCATCATAACACTTCATCGTGAAAGAGTGGAAAGTGTAATGCAAGCAAATCAAATCCAAGAGAAAAAATCCCTCAAAAATTAAGCAACGAAATGTCAAAACACTCCATTCATCGATGAAATCAGTCCAAAAAGGAAACGTCTAATGAGCTGAACTTACCGTAAGACTAGATTCTAATAACAGAGAAGTCAATCACAACTGAACGACCATTTCTTCACGATTGCTATTTCTTAACATCCAAGAAAAGGCAAACGAAGCCAACACTTACAAAGCACCCTTCAAAGGTGAGGTGTTTTTCGTATCCTTGAGAACTGGTACAATTGAATTCGATGTGCGTAAACTTTGTTGACGGTGTTGTTCACGAGCTCTCTGTGCAATTTGTCGAATTTGAGCTTCCGCTTCACGTGCTCTTTTTTCTAGAGGAAGAGAAACCATCACCAACCATAGTAACATATAGCAGAAATAATCCAAGAAGCTCACAAATACTTCCACAGAGTGCTATCAGTATCAACCAACCCTGTTCCGCCCAAGCTTGTTCAACACGTTGAGCCTCTTGTTCTGCTTCTAAATCAAATTGCTGATGTTTTTCCTTAATCTTCTCGAAAATTTCCGACTGTCGCTTGGTGATTTCTTCGTCGATATCTGTAAGCACTAATGAATTTAAATCAAAAGTGGTTAATTCTTAAACTTCACTGATAAGTGTTATGGAAAATAAAAATACCCGATAAATCATGTCTCGTACTAAGATCAGGCCGGAATTTCACTTCCACGTCATGACCAGAGTTCGTTTTCTGAGGTGGAGTGATCTGTGTATTTATATTCCAAAGTCGTGCTCGTGGAATAGTAAGGAAGTTCTCATTGAAACTATTTCCACTCATCCAATCAGGTTTTGTAGCATTTATCGCTGTATCAAGTGTCTGAAATTCGTTATTTTAATTGCAAAACAGTTAATTTAGTGATAAGTTGGGCATTACACTGGAATCAAAAATACATCAGACAAACCAAGCAGATTAAGTCTAACTTTCATCCCGTATGGACTGCTATAATCTGACAGTAGGTTTCCTTTTCCTAATCCACGACGTATGTCTGATTCAGAAGGCTGGGAGGAAAGTGGCAAATAGTCAGTGCGAGCTCCATAAGGAGCAATCACTGCCTCACTT